GCGGGTCGTGAAAAATAATGTTAGATTGAAGACACACATACACGCCAGCGCACGCACGCACGCACGCACGCAACGCAGCGCACGCACACACACACATGCACGCACGCACCGCACACACACACACAAACTACAACACACACAACACGAACGCACACACACACTCACGCACGCAACGCACGCACACCACGCGCACGCACACACACGCACACACACACAACACACACACGACACACACACACAACGCACAACCCACGCCACAGCGACACACACCAGCACGCACGCATCGGTCCACGCACGAACCGCGCACGCACACACACCCGCACACACGACACACACGACACACACACACACACACACACACACGCGCGCGCGCGCACGCTTCTGCAACACCACACACACACACGCGCGCGCAACGCAGCAACCACACAGACATACACAACACAACACGCACACACACACACGGCACGACACGACACACACACATCACACACACACACATGCAACGCACAACATCACACACACACCCACACACACAACACACACTCACACACAGCACACACAACAGCACACCGTCGCCGCGGCGGGGGCCGCGGCGCGCGCGCGCGCAGCGCGCGATCAGATGCGCCAGCTGCCGTTATGCGATTTTTCGTTGCACCACGAAATAAGTTTATTCTGAGTTTTTTTGATTAAATTTATTTTTTTCGATTTCTTGCTATGTTTTTATCTATCTACTGACGTGCGTTGCGTGCGTGCGATGCGTGCGTGCTGTGCTGCGCAAGTCTTCTCTAACCCATCACCGCCCCGTCCATACTCGCTCTCACTCGCCTGCTCTATATTTATGCATTATTTGTTCAAACGTCGCGCTGCGCTTGCAATGGACAGCATGCGTCGCTCCTAGCAACTGTAAACCTGGTTAGCAGATAAGATTACAACGTATATATAAGTATATATACACGGCTGCGTCAGAGGCAGGTATATGTATGCACGGCAGCAAGGCCAGCTGGTAATGACGGCACAGCAGTAAGCAGGTGAGAGCGCGTGTACGCTGGCAGCAGAGACGGAAATTTTATAACGGCAGCGGACATATATTGTAATATTACCGGGACAAGGCAGCGTATATGTGTATATCATCGGCAGCAGAGGCAGGTATAGTGTGTATAATACGCTAGCAGAAGCAGTATAGCTTATATGGCAAGCAGGTATATAGTGCTATATATACGGCAGCCAGAGACAGCTGTATATCGTGCATCAGATGCAGGTAATATGTGTATGATATACGGCAGCAGAGGCAGTATATGTTCTATATACTGCATGGCAGAATAAGAGTCTAGTTTCAGGTCATATAGAGAGCAGGTATCGTGTATATATACAGAGCAGAAAGCAGGTATATATGTGTCATATACCGGCATCAGAGAGCAGGGTATATGTGGTATATATACCTCACGGCAGTCATTGGAGCGCAGCGAGTATATGTGTATATATCTGGCAGCAGAGGCAAGGTATAATGTTGGGTCAATAATACGGCAATCATTAGGCAGGGGTATATGTGTCTATGATAACGCATTCGATGCACCGCTATGTACCGTTACCTACTGCTACCTGTCGTGATGCATCGCTATGTATCGTTACCTACTGCTACCTGCCTCAATGCATCGCTATGTACCGATATCTACTGCTACCTGTCTTGATGCACCGCTATGTACCGTTGCCTACTGCTACCTGTCGTGGCGCATCGTTATGTACCGTTACCTACTGCTACCTGGCGTGATGCGCCGCTATGTACCGTTACCTACTGCTACCTGTCGTTATGCACCGCTATGTTCCGTTACCTACTGCTACCTGTCGGTACGCATCGCTGTGTACCGTTACCTACTGCTACCTGCCGTGCTGCACCGCTATGTACCGTTACCTACTGCTACCTGTCGTGTTGCACCGCTATGTACCGTTACCTACTGCAATCTGGCGTGATGCACAGCGATGTACCGTTACCTACTGCTACCTGTCGTGATGCACCGCTATGTACCGTTACCCGTGATGCCCCGCTATGTACCGTTACCTACTGCTACCTGGCGTGATGCACAGCTATGCACCGTTACCTACTGTTGCCTGTCGTGATGCAGCGCTATGTACCGTTACCTACTGCTACCTGTCGTGCTGCACCGCTATGTACCGTTACCTGCTGCTGCTACATGTCGTGATGCACCGCTATGTACCGTTACCTACTGCTACCTGTCGTGATGCAGCGCTATGTACCGTTACCTACTGCTACCTGTCGTGATGCACCGCTATGTACCGTTACCTACTGCTACCTGTCGTGATGCACCGCTATGTACCGTTACCTACTGCTACCTGTCGTGCTGCACCGCTATGTACCGTTACCTACTGCTACCTGACGTGATGCAACGCTGTGTACCGTTACCTACTGCTACCTGTCGCGATGCACCGCTATGTACAGTTACCTACTGCTACCTGTCGTGGTGCATCGCTATGTACCGTTACCTACTGCTACATGTCGTGTTGCACTGCTATGTACCGTTACCTACTGCTACCTGTCGCGATGCACCGCTATGCACCATTACCTACTGCTACCTGTCGTGATGCACCGCTATGTACAGTTACCTACTGCTTCCTGTCGTGGTGCACCGCTATGTACCGTTACCTACTGCTGCCTGTCGTGATGCACCGATATGTACCGTTACCTACTGCTACCTGTCGTGCTGCACCGCTATGTACCGTTACCAACTGACGTACCGTTATGATCTGCTGTCGCTATGCTCCGTTACGTTCGGGTCAGTGGTGGAAGTGATCTGTACACTGATATCCAGTATCTGCTCACCACCACCACCACAGGCACTTGGAACGTCTCAATAAATAATGGTAAATGAACACGAAATGTATTTACTACCAAAGTCTTAATTAATTAAATGTTTCTCTACTCTATTTCGCCTATTATTGCCGATAATTACCCGTAAATGCCGGTCA